ATTTATGCCTCGCGGACTGGGGGTGCCTCCAAATGGAGGACGCCTCCTTCCTTAAGTTACGCCGCCGCGCCGAGTGACTCTGGGACGTAAAGGGTAGCGAGGAGTTCGCACCCGTCATTCTGCGCGATGGGCTGTTGATGGCCTGGGACGGTAGCTCTCGCCGATATAATATTGTTGTGCCAACCGCTCTGCGCGGAAAGACCATTTGGGCTGCTCACGAGCACCTCTTGCACCTGGGAGTCCACAAAACGCTCAACATGCTGCAACTCGATTTATATTAGCCAGGTATGGTGAAGGATGTGGCCAATTTGCTTCTGAGCTGCACCCAGTGTGCCAGGCGGAAGCCACCGGTTAGGCCATCGTGCCCACCATTACAGTCCATTCGTGTGTCCCGCGTCAACGAATTGGTGGTGCTGGACATTCTTGGGCCCTTTCCAGCCACCTCCCGAGGTAATAAGTACCTACTGGTTGGGGTGGAATATTTCACCCGCTGGCCCATGGCCTGGCCACTCCCCAACCAGTCGGCAGCAGCCATTGCCGAGGCGTTTCTCCAGGGCTACATCCTGGACAAGGGTGCTCCGGAACAACTGCTGACCGACCAGGGAAATAATTTCTTGCCCACTCTATTGAAAGATGTGCTTCACCTCCTGGATACGCAAAAGGTGTGCACTTCCCTGTACCACCCACAAACTGACGGGATGGTCGAGTGTCTCCATCGAACGCTCACCTCAATGCTGTGCCACCAGGTTGATGAGTCACAACTGGATTGGGATCTCCACATCCCCGGGGTGCTGGCAGCTTACAGGATGGCGCCCCATGCGGCGACCGGGTACTCGCCATTCTACCTCATGTATGACCGCGATGTCAACCCCTCGGCGGACGTGCAGCTACGCGTCACACCGCTCGCCTCCAAATCCAAGTTGTTGGACCACATCCGGTTCAATATTAAAAAACTGACCGAGACACGGGAGGCCGCCAGGAAAAATTTTGGGGCAAGGCAATTGGCTAACGGGAAGCTGCAGGGCCACTGCGTATCCGAGCACATGTGGGTGGAAGGAGACCAGGCTTGGCTACATTGCCCCCAGGTTCCCTTGGCAACATCCCCAAAATGTATTAAACCCTGGAGGGGGCCGGTCAAGGTTGTTCGAGTCGTCCGCCCCCAGTGTGTTAAGGTTCAATGGGGTAAAAGGTCTTGGCATGTACACCTGTCGCGCCTGAAACCCTACGTCACACCGCACACTTTCCCCTCATCTTCACGTCGCAGGGGCCATAGGTGTGATGTGTCCGACGCGCCGGGGTGTATACTTACGGAACCTAGCTCTGCGACGAGCCATCTTGTCCCACCCTCAGATGCCGCGGGATTGAGGCCTTCACGGCCACCAGCGCCGGCCGCCCCCGACACCGAGCGCCCACCTGCCCCGCCTGATGGGGCCCTGACGGGGCCGGCCTCTCCTGACACGCCCCTGCGGGCTGTTCCCCACTTAGAACCAATTGCTGCCGAGCCGCCACAGATACCTTGCGGCTCGTACGATGGTTCTGCTACGCGGACCCGACCCGAGCCACAGACACTTCCCCTTCCGTCGGATTGACTTTGTCACCTTGATTTTGCCGACGGTCAGCCGCGTTGTGTCGATGATCGTGCGTGTACCACGGGGTGTGGGCGGTCACGCGTGCACCATCATACTCTCATGTATATTTGTAAATAACGTACACATGTACAGGTGGGCTGAGGTATTTATATGGGTTTTCATTGTTGTTATTGTTGCATTGCCGCACACGTACTTACTGTTGTGTTCGATGTTCTTAAAAAAAATAAGGGGGGAAGCTGGCAGCCGAGATGGCTGAGTGCTTCGAGGGGGGGTAATGTAGTGGGTATTGTGTGCATTACACATGGTTACCACTACTTACCTGATGTAGCGTCAGCCACGGGTCAACATGGGGCAACAGCGAGTACGTCCGATATCAAATAATGCCGTTAGGCCAGGGAACCCAGAGGGCGGTTGGGAACCGGAGGTATACACCCCAGGCCCCCAGTGGGGGCTGGGGGATTACGCAATAATCCAGGTCCCTCCAGACGGTTCCAGAGAGTAGGCATGGCCAGGGGCGGAGTGACCCTGGGAGCTGTATATAAGGCGGACCCCTGAACGGGTTTGCCAGTCGTCGTCAAGCTGAAGACTGAAGAGCCAGCTTAGACTAGGACCCCTGGGAGCCCCCGGACCCGACATCCTTTTAAGGGCTGGGACTGAGTGGGCCAGTGGCCGGGCCCCGAGGACCTTGGCTGGGTCGGGTCAGCTAGCCTCACTTAGGTCCCCCTAGCCGGAGGGTTGATATATATAGAGGAAGTGGTCCCAGTGATTAGGACACGCTAGCCCGGAGGCTACACCTCCCCAGGATATCGGGTGGAAGGGGCCGATAACCCTTTGTGTCAGGGACCTTGTCACCTTTATAGTTATACATAAACGTGTTGCTTCCAGAGAAGACTGAGTCTCCATAATTACCACTACAACTGGCGTCAGAAGTGGCCGAAGACCTAACTAGAAATGGAGACAAGGAGTCGTGCACGTACCTGGGCTCTGGACGACGACGACCACGGTGGTGCGCTCGCTCCAGGGGTGGCAACACCACCAAGCAATGAAGATGCCGCCCCAATGGCCGACATGCAGCCTGCACAAGCGCCCGTGAGCCCGCCGCATTCGGGGAGTGCGCTCCGTGTGGCGCACTACCGCCTCACCGACCTCCTGCACGCCGTGGCTACACTATTATAGAGTCGGTATATACGACTATAGAGTGGGTAGATACTACTGTAGAGTAGTTAGATCCTACTGTACAGTTTGTAGGTGCTGCTACTGCCGAGTGGGAGGGGGCGGTATAGCAGCCCAGCCCCAGCCTGCCAAGGTGCCACCACCGCCGGCTGGACAATCTAGGCGAGGCCGGGGGCTCTGCACGGGACTAGGCCTCACCACGGCACTGTTAAGTAAGTGTAGAGGAGTATTGTGAGTAACCAATGAGGGGGCGAGCAGAGGGAGGTACGAGCGGGTTGCCAATCAAGAATGACGTAATGTCACGGGTTACAGAACGGGCTTTGGAGAGCACCTTCGGGAACATGGGCGGAGCCGAGCTGGGGGCGAGGAGCCGCCAAAAGGGTTCTTAAGGGGGCTCCGTGATGGAGGCGTGGTCGTCGTAGGGAGCCAGGGTAAGGATCGGCTGCAGAGGGTAGGGTCCCTTAGTATTCAGTCATTGTCCACTGGAAGAGAGTCTCTCTCTCCTCGTCGCGGAGCGGTGTTGGCTGAACCCCCGCTCAGGGCACACGAGCGAGAGAGCCAAAAGGGTAGACGAGGGTAGGACCCAAAAAGTATTCTGTGTCCAGGGTAAAGGACCGAGATAGAGTGCACCTACACTGGTGTGAGCGTAGGATGTTGAGTGTAACAGTGTTTTATTAAACGGCAACACCCCTGGTCTCCGTGTGGTTCTATTGCACTACACAAGTATTATATTCTTGCTTCTTTCGCTAAACTCACGTAGATAGATAAAAATTAAAATAATAATGTGTGTGTCTAAGTCCATGTGTGCGTGTGAGTCGATGTGCGTGTGTGTGTCGATGTGTGTGTGTAGTTTGATGTGTGTGTGAGTCTATGTGGGGCCGTCCATAAATGACGTAACGCGATTTTGGTCGATTTTTGACCCCCCCCTCGTCACACGGCGTCACAAAAAGTCAGACCCCCCTCTAATATGACGTCACAAAGCTCTGCACTCCCCCCCCCCCCAAAACCATATTTCCATTTTGAAAATAAAACATGCTTCAAATCGCTTTAAACTATTGTCATTGTAGTGAGTATTTAATGTGGCGCTGCACTCTGATGTTGTAGGAGAAAACATTTATTAAAAAGTCTATTTAATTAAGTAGAACGTGTTGTCTATATTATTTAAAGTTGCGCATTTTGATGTGACGTCACATTTCTCAAACGGCCCCTGTATGTGTTTAAGCCGATGTGAGTCGCTGTGTGTGTACGTCGATATGTGTGTGTAAGTCGATGTATGTGTTTGAGTCCATATGTGTGTGTAAGTCGATGTGTTTGTGTGTGTGGGTCGATGTCTGTGTGTGTGTGTAAGTCGATGTGTGTGTGTAAGTCGATGTATGTGTTTGAGTCCATATGTGTGTGTAAGTCGATGTGTTTGTGTGTGTGGGTCGATGTCTGTGTGTGTGTGTAAGTCGATGTGTGTGTGTAAGTCGATGTATGTGTTTGAGTCCATATGTGTGTGTAAGTCGATGTGTTTGTGTGTGTGGGTCGATGTCTGTGTGTGTGTGTAAGTCGATGTGTTTGTGTGTGTGGGTCGATGTCTGTGTGTGTGTGTAAGTCGATGTGTGTGTGTCTTTTTCGCCTGGGCAACGCCGGGTACTTCCCGCTAGTTTTCCTATAAAGTATGAATTTCTCTCTTGAAGGAGCACAGACTTCGATTTAAAGCTTTCGTGACTGCAAGGATTAATCTTCTTTGGTTCTTTCGGTAAAGTCACGTAGAATGAGAATAGAATAATACATTGATAAAATAAAATAACACAATAAAATTATCACGACGTTTCGGCCACAACACAAGCGGCCTTCATCAGGTGAAGGGACGAGACTTACTGTCTGGAGGACAGTCTCGTCCCTTCACCTGAAGGCCGCTTGTGTTGTGGCCAAAACGTCGTGAGAATTTTATTGTTATTTTATTTTATCAATTTATTATTTTATTCTCATTCTACGTGACTTTACCGAAAGAACCAAAGAAGAGCACAGACTACAGTGGTTTACTGTGTGGTCCAGAGTTTGGGTTGTATGGTCACAATCGCACTGTCGCTGGTCTTTAATGTATATCTATGTCTAACAGGGTTTGCTATATGGTCCATAGCACGCTGTTATTGTGAGAGCAGGATACCAGAACACATTCAACATCATCGCTGCCATTGCAGCTGATGCCAAGAGAGGGGGCGGGGCCTGTGCGTGTGGGCGGGGCGCGGGGCGGAACCCCCTCCCCCTGCTCGGCGAGAACTTCCGCAAGGAAGTTGAGAGCCGAATGAGGAAGAGTTGAGAGGAGAAACCGCCGAGTGAGACCACGGAGTTAAAACCACGGAGTTAAAACCACGGAGTGAGACCACGCAGTGGGAGACCGCGGAGTGAGAGAGAGAGGTGAGCGGGAGTGAGAGACCACGGGAATTGTGGCCACAGCGGGAGGCCGCGGACCATGAAAGTCACGGTTCGCTTTGGCCGCACGCGGGTGGTGCTGCCGTGCGGGGACGGCTCCCAGCGGGTGCGGGACGCGGTGACCGAGGCGGTGAGGCGCTACAGGAAGGCGCTGGGCAAGGTGAGGACACTCACTCTCAGATTCTCACTTACACACACGACTGACCGATCACTCACACGCAGCTCCACATACAGTACATTGCGCACTCACAGACACTCAGCTCCTCGCTCACCTCCACTTAGCAGTGCCTGCAACAGTGATTTGATCTATGCCACTGCTGTAACTACAGATGTACCAACAGGCAGCACGATATATCAACAGATGCGCCCAGCCAATTCCAGTCGTGGTGCTCGCAGCAGCCAGACTCAGAATGTTTGTTATACGAGAGGAATCCGATGAGCTATAAAGCTGTTTTCACAGATGTCCAGTAGAGGCCGGTCAGAACGTTACAACAACAACACCACAGCAGCAGTCGTATCATTGAGCAGCCCCAGTGTCATATGTGTAACTCTTAACTATGTCACGTGACCATGTCACATGTGTCAGTATAAACAATGTCAAGTGGCCGTGTCACATGTGTCACTCCTGGAAATGTCACACGTGTGACTGTCACCTGTGTCAATCTTCACAATGTCACACACGAGACTGGGTTACATGTGTTACTTCACAATGTCACTGTGATCGTGTCACATGTCATCTCTGCTCAATGTCACACTTTACCGTGTTACATGTGTTACATTTGACCGGGTGACATGTGTAACTCTACACAATGTCGCACGTGACGGTGTTTCATGTCCTGTGTCTAACTGTAAACGTGTGGTTCCAGTGCACAGTGCCTGAAGTTGAATAATGCGGCTTTACATATGTATAGTGAACTTCGTTCACACTGTACGTAGCCAACCGTGCTAATCGGAGTGGTGCTGTCCTTCCTCGGGGTTTGTTTATTTCTTCCGCCGTGCAGCAGCAGCAGCAGCGTCACTCGTGTCAGTGGTGAGATGGCGTCAACACCAATCCGTGCTGTTGACGTTCAGGCCCACCCCCCCCCATGTGATTTTATACAAGTTGGGCGACATCGATTGCTTGATTCATAATTGGCTTTTGGGTTAGTTCACGTAAAGACCTGACCAAATTTGTGTCGTTAAGCCCCTCCACCACTCAACATAGCCAGACAAAGCAACTGTCACGTACAGTGAGGGAAAAAAGTATTTGATCCCTTGCTGATTTTGTACGTTTGCCCACTGACAAAGAAATGATCAGTCTATAATTTTAATGGTAGGTTTATTTGAACAGTGAGAGACAATAACAACAAAAACATCCAGAAAAACGCATGTCAAAAATGTTATTAATTGATTTGCATTTTAATGAGGGAAATAAGTATTTGACCCCTCTGCAAAACATGACTTAGTACTTGGTGGCAAAACCCTTGTTGGCAATCACAGAGGTCAGACGTTTCCTGTTGTTGGCCACCAGGTTTGCACACATCTCAGGAGGGATTCTGTCCCACTCCTCTTTGCAGATCTTCTCTAAGTCATTAAGGTTTCGAGGCAGACGTTTGGCAACTCGAACCTTCAGCTCCCTCCACAGATTTTCTATGGGAATAAGGTCTGGAGACTGGCTAGGCTACTCCAGGACCTTAATGTGCTTCTTCTTGAGCCACTCCTTTGTTGCCTTGGCCATGTGTTTTGGGTCATTGTCATGCTGGAATACCCATCCACGACCCATTTTCTATGCCCTGACGAGGGAAGGAGGTTCTCACCCAAGATTTGACGGTACATGGCCCTGTCCATTGTCCCTTTGATGCGGTGAAGTTGTCCTATCCCCTTAGCAGAAAAACACCCACAAAGCATAGTGTTTCCACCTCCATGTTTGACGGTGGGGATGGTGTTCTTGGGGTCATAGGCAGCATTCCTCCTCCTCCAAACACGGCGAGTCGAGTTGATGCCAAAGAGCTCCATCTTGGTCTCATCTGACCACAACACTTTCACCCAGTTGTCCTCTGAATCATTCAGTTGTTCATTGGCAAACTTCATACGGGCATGTATATGTGCTTTCTTGAGCAGGGGGACCTTGTGGGCGCTGCAGGATTTCAGTCCTTCACGGCGTGGTGTGTTACCAATTGTTTTCTTGGTGACTATGGTCCCAGCTGCCTTGAGATCATTGACAAGATCCTCCCGTGTAGTTCTGGGCTAATTCGTCACCATTCTCATGATCAATGCAACTCCACGAGTTGAGATCTTGCATGGAGCCCCAGTCCGAGGGAGATTGACAGTTATTTTGTGTTTCTTCCATTTGTGAATAATCGCACCAACTGTTGTCACCTTCTCACCAAGCTGCTTGCCAATGGTCTTGTAGCCCATTCCAGCCTTGTGTATGTCTACAATCTTGTCCCTGACATTCTTGGAGAGCTCTTTGGTCTTGGCCATGTGGAGAGTTTGGAATCTGATTGATTGATTGCTTCTCTGGACAGGTGTCTTTTATACAGGTAACAAGCTGAGATTAGGAGCACTCCCTTTAAGACTGTGCTCCTAATCTCAGCTCGTTACCTGTATAAAAGACATCTGGGAGCCAGAAATCTTTCTGATTGAGAGGGGGTCAAATACTTATTTCCCTCATTAAAATGCAAATCAATTTATAACATTTTTGACATGCGTTTTTCTGGATATTGTTGTTGTTATTCTGTCTCTCACTGTTCAATTAAACCTACCATTAAAATTATAGACTGATCATATCTTTGTCAGTGGGCAAACGTACAAAATCAGCAGGGGATCAAATACTTTTTGTCCCTCACTGTATACAAGCTAATATCGTATAAACTCTCTGGTCAGTTGAAGAACAATCCTCACAACTGAATTTAGCACGAAGATAAGATGTCCCGTTTGAATCGTCATATGTATTTGTTCTCATGAAGTGTGACATAGTTTCAAATTAAACCTCTTATAATTAATAAATATGGTGAGGATTCCTATTCTATGGGTCTTTCGGTAAAGTCACGTGACATTACCGAAAGACCCAAATAATATGAATTCCTGCAGTCACGAAAGCTTTAAGTCAAGGTTTATGGTGAGGATTGACAAAAGGTCTCAGAATGGACCCAGGTGCCATGGGTTGACTGACTGGTAGATGCACTAAATGTGCTTCCCACTGTGCCACTTGTTGCTGTGCCAAGTTGTTGCATTTTTAGTTGCCTGGCACGCCGCTCATTGTGAGAATCACTCCTATGCTCTCCGTGTATAAATTGCACATCTTGACACCGCTGGTACTAGTCATCTGCAGGTAGAATCAGCTCCACATCCTACTGCACCACATCAGTCCATCTTGTCTCGAGCCCGTGCCGCGCCTTATTATCCCATCTATCCGGCCAAAGAGAAACTGCTTGGGCATGCAGTGGCTGGGCATGTGGGCTACGTGACCCAGCCAATGCAGCCTGTCTGCCGGAGGAGCTCCCTGATGGGACTGGTCCAGATCTTTCAAGGGTCTGTGAGCTCCTGACACAATTCAGGCTGGTTTATCCCAGGATGGATCTATGTATGCCAGCCTGAGTGTTTCAAACCATCGCAGATGTTCCTTTAAAGGGCTCCACATTTCGCAAGCATAGAGAAGGGAGGGTATAATTGTGGCCAAGAAGATTCTGAGTTTTGTATGGAGTGACTAGGTAGCTTCCACAGAGCATTACGCAGCTGACAATACACGCACATCCCATCAGTAACACAGCCTTTTGGCAGTGCATAATTTCAGCAGCATTGCTTCAGAGCAAGCAATGTAACCTTTTTGTGGCATTCATTGTCTCATCAGCAGAGTCGGGCTTGCTTCCACCAAAGTTGGTCAACTGCCAGATGTGAATAGGCAAGGCCCTTCACTGTTAGATAGGTCCTAGTTCAGCACAAAACTACACAATATGTTTCATAGTTTCAAAGTGCATAGTTTCATTTATTTGGTATAGCCCTGTGAACCATTCGGCTCTTGAATCGGGTGCAACCGCAACAAACAAAAAAACTAAAACATGAACTTGAAAACATCTTAAAGTGACTTTGTGCATGTGCAAACAGAAAATCCAGGAAAAAAACATCAAAATATTCCTGAAATAGCACCGTACACCAACGCTGTGTGCAAAAATCCCAGTGGGATGCATGTCAAACAACAAGAAGAAAACTTAGATTAAGGCCATCAGTCTAACTCCGTACTACAATAAACAAAAACATGGCAAAACCAAAAAACTTTTAGAAACCACCAAAATAAAGCCATAAATGCAATGTAACAGTGATCATAGGAACTGTGACCGAATTTTTAACAATAAACTACATAAATAACATGTAACACCAAACCCTAGAGCCACAGCTGGCTGCATGAGTCACTCCACAAACAACAGGAGCATCAGTCGGAGTATCACATTTTTCAATGCACCTTTAAGATCAGCACACTAAATCAAAAAACATTTTATTTTATTTTAGGCCACTGAATAGCAGTGGCAGCTAGGGGTGTACAACTCCTCTAGAGCAGTTTTGAGTGAAGATCTCATAGGTAGTGATTCAAGTTGCAGTTTATTGGCAATAGCATTCCAGACCCTGGGGGCATCAATAGCAAAGGCCCTTCCTCCGGTTTTGTACGGCAATAGGGAATGTGAAGCTGGTAGATGAGCGAAGACCTGAGGTCAAATTTGTTCTTTGAAACAGAGAGGAGATCCAGCAGGTAGTCTGCGGATTTTTTTGTAAGTACATCGTGAATAAATAAGATCTGGTGTACAAGCCGAACATTATGAGATGTTAAGTTTGACCCATTGTAGAGATCACAGTGGTGAGTCCTATATGGGCAGTTCAAATTTAGAATGAGGGACTCTTCCTTGGTTGGATGTCTATGAAGATTGGCCATTTCCAAGAACGTTATTGACAGATATGTTGAGTTTCTTCGTTGAAGTAATGTATGCCTGTGCTTAGCAGCACTTGAGGTGATTGCCGGCACACATTCCAGGGCAATGGTATTTTGTTGAACCCTATGGCATGTGGCTTGATACACTGTGGAATGTGTGTGTGTAAGCATTGTGTGGGAGATTCGGGTGGGAGATTAGGCTTGCTTTCCGCCTCTTATCAGTAGCGTCGTGACATCAGCTGTGTAAAATATATTAACTACTGGTGGACAATATAATAACGACTTATGAGTGTGTCTGAGTGATTGAGGGGGAGTGGTTCAGTGATGGAGTGAGTGAGTGGGCAATTGTATGATTGGGTGAGTACATGAGTGGTTGAGTGAGTGATTGGGCGAGAGGGTTGTATGTTTGTTCAACTTCTTTTGCACCCTTCGTAGCCAACGGTGCTAATCAGAGGTGTGGAGTTACGTGAGGAATTGGTGAGTGAGTGGTTGAGTGAATGGTTGATTAGTGGGTGCATGGGGGTGAGTGGGTGGTGCTTAACATTTCACAGTGTAACTTGGAAATCAATATTTCACGTGCAGATTTTCAGGAATGAAATAGGGTACACCTGCACAGACCATTCATGTCAGGGGATTTATGTTGTCTTCAAGTTTTAATTTGAATAAGTTATGTGTATTAAAATTAAAATTATTAGTAAATTCAAAGGACAGATGAAAATATATACACGTTTTTGGGGGTTAACTCAGCCCATCATTCCTAAAGGGTCTATCAAATAAGTACCCCTCTGTGGAGAAGTCAACAGTGGTTCTTCTATGGTTATACTCACCCCTTAACATAGGGATGTCGAACTTCCACCACAGGCTCAGTGCTGTAAAGAGGAGATAAGCACTGCCTCAATGCTCACTTGAGCAGAACATTGCCTCAATGAGCTTTAAGTAGACACAAGCTATGCATGGTGGATGTCCTCCAATCAGGACTCTGCTGCAAACAAAAATCCTGCTCAAATCACAGCACATGACGGCAGCAGCAACCCTTAGCGAGACATCACACCGTTTTTAAATTGGAAAGTTGCTCAACGTATTTGGATAGAAACTGGACTCTTCTTCCTATAAGTTGCTTTTATTTTCTTCATTCATAATGAAAACCCAGGGATAGATGTCAGCCTAAGCACTTAATACTATTAAGGGTTGCACTGAGCACAAAAATGGTCTTTCTTCATGCGTGACAATTGTACTTGTAAATGTATTGGTGTAATATAATAATGTGTAGATTTATGTAGCAGTGTCGTCCATGCAAATTGCATCTCACAATTGCTGTCGAAGCACAGACGAGCGGGAAGGTAGCAGTCAGGAGGTGAGCCGGCACCAACAATGGCCCAAGCTCTGCCATCCTCTATATTCAGATGTTTTCAACCAATGAATGGGTGTTTATGCTTGTGGGAGCAAACCAGACCACTGATAATTCCCACACATGTGAGGGGGCTACACTCTATCCCATAGAGAAGGAACAGATGATATTAGTTTTCACTTTGCTGGATCGCCTTCTTGAAAGCCAGGGTAATGCATCTCGATGTCCACGGGAAGTGAGTATTGTAACATTTAAGTGATCCACCAACCCTAACCTCCATAGTGCTATGATCCAGCACTGTGGAGGCCAGAGTGCGTTTTTATCATTGTTATGCAGTGTTTTCTCTTTCTCCATATCAGGTGTTCATTAATCATGTTATCATTATTATTACACTTGCCAGGAAAGCCTCACCGAGTATCGAGACTTTTTTTGTAGAAGGGTCCTGCTATGTTTTCGCAGCCGGGGGTGATGCTGCTGCTATGTGTTGTGTATTTTGAGTCATTTGAGCAATACGAGTTGTATTGAATGTTTTTTTTTAGCTATGGGAGGAAACTGGACAACCCAGAGGAAAGTCATGCAAAACAGGGGAGATGAATAATCGAACACAGGTGCTTTTGGCTGGTACCACTTTGCTACCACCGTGTCTTTAAATGTTTTTTTTATTCCCTTTTGAGATTTTCCAGCAAAAAGCCAGCCTGTAGTCAATGTTCAGCATCTCATCAGCAGTCAGGCTTGCTTGCACCAATGCTGGTGAATTACCACATTTTCACAGCCAAGCGCTTTTTATGTTGGATATGGGTTCTAGTTCACCACAAACCATACAATGTACAACGCAAAATAATCATTAGCGTCATTGTGGAGAATATAAGTAACATAATAAATAAGGCAGACTGTATGCTTCGTTCACATATCTGTCCCTCAAAATGAAAACGTAGAGTAATTTTTACACATCCCATCAGTCACATGGTGCATAATTTCAGCTGTATCGGTTCAACACAAGCAAACATGGTGAATCGGCTCTATCTGAATGAGAGTCTGCCTATTGGGGATTTTACTCTAGGGACACTTAAATTTAATTTGAAGCTTTCGTGACTGCATGAATTACTCTTTGGTTCTTTCGGTAAAGTCACGTAGAAAGAAAATAAATTAAATAGAATACGAAGTTTCGATTGCAACACAAGCAGTAGTCATCAGGTAGAACTTAATTTGAGAGAGAGACAAAACACAGACACACACAGACAGACACACAAGCAGAGAGAGAGAGACAACACAGAGACACACAGTGAGAGACACACAACATAGACATGAATTTGGGATGGAAGAGCAAAGTTATTGCTGCAGTAAAACAATAGGGCCGGCATGCTGAGTGTGAAGTGGGAGTGGTGTGGCTGTGGGAGGCTAAGCGCACTTGGGGGGGTGGCGGTGCTAATTTTCCCGTGACATTCCGTCCGTTGCAGTCGGCCATGCTCACCGGGCCCACGTGTTGGGGTCGGCTGACGCGCCCGAGTAATGAAACGCTTTGAAGGAGTCTCCCGGAATGCTGCGTGGGACCGTTGGCTACTTCATAGAAGCGATCATTCAAGAGCGATCTTGCTGCTGTTGCTGCTGCTGGTGGGGGAGGCTATGATGGCATTTCCACCTCAATTACGATTTGATTGCATAACGGGGCTCCTTTCATCATCTCACAGTGTTGTAAAAAAGGGCATGTGACTGATGGGATGTGTAAATATTTTTATTTTTTGGTGTGAAGGGACATTTACCTGGAGGCTTATTTTCAGCTTATTTTATCAATTATATTCTTCACCTTGATGCAAAATATGAATTTGTGTATTTATAGTTTCATGTCAGACTAGGGCCCATATCTAACAGGATCCTTGCGTATAAACATCTGGCGGTTCACCAGCATTGGTTCAATGAAGCCTGACAGCTGATAGGGCACTGCATGTAGAAACTGATCCAGAGGTTGCTTGTATCAAACCAGTGTTGCTGATATTATGCACTCCCACAATGCCATGTGGCTGATGGGGTTGTGTAAAAACACATTTGATTTTCATGTGGAGAGATTACAATGGAAAGGAGGTAAATTGAATAGAAGGAAACATCCAGTGGCAAGATCGCATGAAAAAGAGCTTCATAGCTCATCAGATTCCTCCAGTCTAAATAAAGATTCTGATTTTGTTAGCAAATAATATGATAAGCAAATAAAACAGACGAAAGTTGTCATGGACATTAGAAATGGAGTTGTAGGTAGTAATCATTGAATGCCAGCGTCACACACAGAGATACCAAACATCGTGCGGAAACTTCAGTATTCACAGAGTGAGTGCACTGTTGACTGTTGTTACACTTGTCATTAGCAGCGTCTTACCACACTTGGCTGTAATAGTAAACACCCCACTTGGATGAATGTGGGTGCGGGTGCAGCTGTGGATGTGGTTGAACTGTGATGTGGTGGAGTTTTGGTATAGTGGAGTTGTGGTGCGGGTGAAACTGTGTTGTGGGTGGAGCTGTGGTGTGGGGCAGCTGTGGTGTGAGGCTGCTGTGGTATGGTGAGGCCCTGATGACTGGAGTGCTTGATGTATGTATGTGTGTTGAACTTATTTCGCACCGTACGTAGCCAACTGTGTTAATTTGAGGTGCAGGGGAAGGATAAAAAAAACTAAACACAATGCAATTCTAAAGAAATGAGTTTTCAATCTAGTTTTTAAAGTGCATACATCCAGTGGCTTCCTAATATCGGAAGGAAGAGCATTCCAGACGGCTGCAGAAGTGTATCTGAAAGCACGCGAAGGAGTGACCATTTTTGTTCGATGGCTAGCCAAAAGCTGCAGCGAGAATGACTAGAGTTCACTTGATGGTTTATGCTGCTTCACAAGGTCAGCAAGGTATTGTGGTTCATTTGTGGCAATAACTTTGTGTGTAATGAGTGTGACCTTATAATGATGTGCCGTGTCGCCTGCAGGACTCCTCCTACTGGGTGCAAGTGCAGCACCTGGAGCACAAGGATGGTGGAATCCTTGATGATGACGATCTCCTCCGGGATGTTTGTGACGATAAAGACAAGGTACCACTGTCTTGTGCTGTGGCCTTAACGAATTGCATATTGTCAATATCGTCATCGGCCATGATCACTCAGGTGCTGGATGAAGGCATCCCCAAACTGCTGCCACCTCTCACCATCCCGCAGTACAACTGTCCACCGAGCATCTCATCGCTCCAATAACAACGTGTCCTGCCCTAGTTTTGATTGGGCGGCGACGTGGCCCAGCGGTAGCTCGTTCGCCACGTGTTGCAGAGGTTTGCAGCACCCGGCGGGTCGCCCTGCTGAACACTGCGGCTTTATCAGCCGTAAAATACCAAGCGCCGTTGGCTTCACAGTGGACATTGAAGATTCCATGATTTCATTCAAAAAGTAGGTCATTGTGTGCTGTGTCATGGTTCAAATTTACCAAGTAAAAAAACCCCACAATATACTCAATTGGGAAACAGCAATCATTGCCCCCTAGGGACTGGCAGACTAATCACCTGCTTGCAAGGAGGTAAGAAGTAACCTTGTGCCACACGGACAGTTGTCGCGAGGGGTGCCCTTTCAATTCATAATCCAGGTTTTTTTTGGGTTAGATTGGATACATATATGAATGTGCCGTTAAACCCGCCACCACCCAACGCAGCCAATTAGTAAGATTTGTCACGTAAAGAGAACATGCCAATTCGTCAATAGTACAGCACACCGGTGTGCCAATACACAACATTTACTATCCTTGTACGACGCATCCCTGCAGTTGCTCGCTCACGCCACCACTGGTGGAAGGGCCCCCACTCGATGGAGCGCTAGAGAGTATTTGGTGGGCTTACCCCACCACACGTGACCTGTTGATCCACTAGTAGTGCCATTACCGCATGGACAGAGGGGGACTGAAGAAACCTTAGCTATTGTTCCGAATGCTGCTCTGGGAGATGGAGTGGAAGCGGCGACCTCCGCTTTGCGATGGCATTATACACCATGGCAGCTGTACAAATGACCAAGCAGGACCCTCTTTAAAATTGTGTTGTGGCTCAGTTCAGAATTCCCTGGGTAGATGAACTGTTATTGTTGTTAGTGATGCGTGAGTGCATCCAGTTAAACGAGTGTAGGGCTCTGACTTGACTGTTTCTTCTAGGTCTGTGCCGCTAGCAGTCGTAACAAAGTGTTGGTGATGCATTATTTTCAGCTGCCTTTGTGGAAACCCGTCAATCCAGACCAATGTGTGCCCTGCTTAACTGCTTAAGAGTCATGCCTGACTTGCTGTGAGGCCATTAAACACCACGATCAATGAAATGCATCCCCATTCATGAAGTTCCACTCATGCTTTCCAACCAGCGTGGGACCTTGGCAGGTGCCTTGCCATTGCACTGTTAGCTTTGTCTTGACTTGGGAGCTCCATTCTCGAATGCTTCTCCACATCGTAAAGCGCTCGATGCTTGCTCTCTGCACCTCTGCCGCGCCGCCACACGGTGGCGTCGTTGTACTACGACTCAGCTCCAACCCATAAGTAACGACACGGGACCAAGATCATAATTCAGTAACCACAGGTGATTGCAAGTATATTTGACTAACTGCTGTGCCAAACCCAGGTGGTACCAACAATAACAGCTTTGGTCTGGGCTCAGGGGCTAAGTATAAGCGTGTGTTCATTTCCGGGTGAGGGGTGGGGTAATCCAGTCCCTCTTTGACATGGCCAGGCGAAAAACGCGATAGACTGTACGTGCATAGCTCACTGAACTGGACAGACACGGCAAACTCTCAGCCCGTTCGCATTCGTACTCATGGCTTCACGCGCTTGTAAACGCGCAGCTGGGCTCTCGCCCAGTGGGGACAGTGACACCATTCACAGGGGATGTTTCCCAACCCGGACCAATCTTTGCATAGGCACGCAAAGCTCTTTTTTTGTTTAGAAATGGTTCCCAAATTCCCAACCGAGGTCATGGCACAAAACAAAGTAATGTATATTCAAAACTCTTCACAGCTGGCCATCCACTTCGTGGCAGATAACGGCCCAGAACAAGACATTACAATCCTACTTCTGATGCCAGTTCTATAGGCCTCTTCATCCACCATAAGAACACATCATGTATGTGCCCTGCAAAGGGCACTTGTCTTGTGTGAAATTCTCGTAACTGATATAAGCTCTGAGATCTTAAGTGACAATTAAAATTTAACATAGTGGTGTTTTTGTGTAGTTATTATTGACAGAGCTGGGACCATCAATCATTACACTTGAATACAGCTGGTTATCTGGCTTTGAACCCAGGCTGTCGACCGTATGGGCTCAGCCCTGTGACCCCTGAGCAACCCGGCCACCTCGGCATTTGAAGGCCTGATTAGTCTATGAGTAAAAGCGTCTACTGCCTGTACAGCTGTGACACTGTGATGGGATTTGGAAATTTGCGCATAAGTACAATCTGTACCAGATAGCGCTGCCTGTTAGGACGACATTACCGTACTCTCGGCTGATTTCCACGCCACATCACAACACCAACTTGCAGAAAACTTTTTTTATGCCCCAGTTACCAAACCCGTCCCATTTAATACCCATTTGGTGGATTCTTCTTTAACCACTTATTTCAATGTGGTAGTGTCTGTTATTTCATTATTTTTTAAATCGAATTCCATTTCAAAAATTATATATTAATTGTATTTATGGGTATTTAAATAATGACAGAGCGGCAGCCAAGGAATGGTACGCGTCCAAGAGAACGTACGCAGATGAGATGGATTGATGAAATCGGTTCGTGTGCAGGTACCAGTTGGATTGTTGCATTGCAGGATCGCAAGGGGCCGTTGGAGGCTTGGGGAGGCCTTCATTCAGCTGTGGATTGGTCATGACTCATAAGGATGTGGTTTCTTGTGTACCCTTACATTTAACTTTTATGCACCCCTGGCTTGTCCAATACATTAATCTCTCATGTGCGCACAGACAGTGGCAATTGGCTGTAGTTTGGATCGACTGTCATCCCTCGGGAATTGCGGTCACGAGAGTGTGTGACCTCCGTGCGACAAGGCTGTGTGCGCGCGTGGCCAGTACGTGTGGTGCGCAGAGATACGCATGTGTTGCTGCGCATGTACTGTGCACTCTGGTGCGGTGTATAAACATCGGCATTTGCGAGACAAAGGCGGCCAGGCGTGGTGCTGGCCACCCCCCCCCCCCGTATGCTGTGCCGGCCTTCATAGGTGCTCGCTAACATCACTTGCCCCAACAGTCTATTAAGGCGATATGAGTGGCTTTGTCTTTGTACTGTACACTGCACATGTCGGTTGCAAAATCCCTGCGCTGACGTCTCTTTAAAATGTTGCGCAATTCGTCCGATTTTCTCCCTTCGATGTTTACCCCGAGTTTCACATTTATCGTCACTTTGTCGATCATAGATCGAGACAGCTGATTGGTCTCTCTGCTCATCCCAGTGGTGTTATCTGCTGCTATGTCAGGTGGTGCTGATTAAGGTTTGCGCATGGAAAATGCCAATGACAATGTGCACGTTGTTCAAAATGCTTGGCACAATAGCCTCATCTGAGCAGTCATGGAACGGCTGTGCTACCCATCCTGCTCAGGAGCTATCGCAGAAGCCTATTTTTATTTTCCATGACAGAGGCTCTTTAACTCTGAGCTATCATCACTGCTGCTGCTGTATCAAGCACAGAGTTGGATGAAGTTGGAATCCTTCCACTGCTGCTGCTGTCAAATCTGGGGTAGAGCACCGAGCTCTTTCTCACCTCACTGCTTGACCGCGGAGAATTCAACCTGAAGTAGCAGTCTGGGTGGTTGATGATCCATCACTCACCGAGTCTAGTCACTCGCTCACCGGCATTCGGTCACCTTATCACTCGTCTATTGCTACTACCATGGTTACTGTTTCCTAGAACTCCACTCATTGGTTCCTCCACAAATGTTGGAGACTCGGCCTACCTGACTGTTGGATCTCTTCCACACTGTGTTCAACCACCACCACCTCCACAATGCAAGTCACACTTCTTATTCCGCTTCTTCCTTCGCACTGCTCTACTATGGCATTCCCTCCTATTGTCTCTTTTCCCAAGCTTTTAATATTAATCTATACAAATGTAGTGGGTTTCACAGAGGCGCACACTCGAACTTGGAGGCAACACGTTTATTATAACACGCCAACAGGGTAACTGTATAACGTCCACTGATTAACTACATAGGGTGGTGACTACCACGGGTAACTACACATTCGGACCAGGTCAGTTAACACACTGCCTGGTCCACGATGCCGCCGTGCGCGAAGACCGAAGATCGAAGACGTAGCCCGGCGGGTTCCATTCCCAGAGACAGCCCGGAACGCGCTCGGGACTTCCCTTTTATGCCCCTAAGTGTGGCCTGGCTCCGCCCTAGGCCACGCCCCCTTCTAGATCCTATTAGAAGGTTCTGTCCCTTATGTCACGTGTCCCTCTCGCCACCCCTTGGCCCCCGTCGCTACCCTCTCCTGGTCACGTGCCCTCTGGGGTTCACCCAGACTGGCCGTCACCAGAAGCATGCCCCCTCGGGCCTGCTTGTATGCCATACACACTGTGGTGCCAGAGAGAGACGCTAACATGCACAGTATCACCCTTCTTCCAATAGTTGATGCTCGACGCTATAGTTACGGGTATTTCTCGACAGGATAGAAAGCTGAAAGTTGGGGACACAAACAATAGGAACAATCTGAAAATCCGAGATTTTTCATTTTAAGGCCCCCAAATCTCGATTTTAAGTGCTCAAGGAACATGTTTGTGCGTGTCATTCAGAAACCGTTCAAAATATAATATAATAGAATATTGCGTGGGTTTTCGGTTGATAGAGCATTCAACGGCAAATAAAATTAAAGCGAGAACCATCGTTCTATGTTTGACTGTTTTTGAGATATTTCGGATTCAAGCAATTTTGAACGGAAAAATATGCATTTTATGATGTTCAAATCTGAATAATTCGAAAAGGTAAAATATAGGAGCTTCCCCTCATAGAGTATTCCGTTCATTAATTGTTGTTCTCTCCTCTAATATAAAAAATAACGGAATCTTTAAATTAA